TTTTTTTTTTTTTTTTTTTCCTTTTTTTTTGCCAATCACGAGTTGAAAAGAAGCTAAACATGAAAGACGCGACGGAACACCTTTCTCTGTAACTTTGCTCAAAATGGGAAAAAAAAAAATATATATATAAAGACCACCTCAGACGTGGAGCCAAACGGGTTGACTCACCACGTGGTGAGACCCGCTGACCGTGTCATGTGAGAGTTGACAAAAAGCGATGCTGCTTCAACGTTCTGCGCAAACGCCCCCTAATTACGCTGTCCTTCCAATACCATACGCAAACAAACTGAGGTAACACACAAAAGGGAAAGGAGGGGGGAGGACATACAACCACATCCAAAGCACACCTTTCTTCTGTTCTCAATCCTTCTTCCCACTTCGAACTCAACCCTATTGAAAAAGAAGTCAATTATAATCCGTTACACAAACGATGCTAGGTCAACAGGAGGACACAACTGCGAGGCCTTTTTTATCCCTTTCTCCTGTGACAGCTCGTCTTAGCCGACTTATACCCGTATGCGCTGAATACACTTTGCGCAACCGCCATTCGGCCATTCGGTGATGCAGCCAAGCCATCTGCTCCTTTTTGTGTACTTCTGCCTACTTGGGAGGAACAGCGAGACAAATATCGCGTTACACTCCTCCCTTCTGAAGTGTGATGTGAACTGAAGGTACCGAAGCGCACACGGAGGGGGAGAAGCTGCTCTGAAGAAAAACTTTTCATCGCGTCTCGTTTTTAGTGTCATCGAATGGTGTAAAGCTATTTTTTTTTTCCTACCTCTTTGCGCACATCCGCAGCTTCACCCCTTTCCAATGGCCACCTTTTTCCTTCTTTGTTATTCCTTGCTGTATTTTATGTGACACAGCTTGTTCTCTCTGCCCCTCCATTCCGGATCAGCCGGCACAAGTTTCGGAGCAGCACACGAACTAGTGCCGCCCCAGTAGGAAATTTTTTTTTTTTTTTTTTTTTTTATCGGTTGCTTTTTTTATTTATTTATTTTTTTTTTTTTTTTCGCTTTTTTGTGCGATGCATATGGTCCAAGGAAATGAGTCAACTGTGTCAGCCCAAGTGTGGAAATGAAAATTGAAAAAGCGCTTTGCATATTATAGCGCCACGCCCTTGAGGGGAGTTTGCCAAAACTAGTTTGTAAAGCAAGTGTCCCGTTCCGTTTGGAACTCGCTTTCCATGAGTCACCATATTCGCCTGCTTCGTACCCGTTTCACAAACGACAACAATTTTTTCTTTTCCTTTTTTCAATTTCAATAAATGCCTCTTTTAAAAGTGCCTCTTTAAAAGTGCCCCTTTTTAAGCGCCCCTTTTAAGCTGTGCCCCATTTTTTGTGTGCCTCCTTCACACCCCTCTGGTGTTCCTTCACCCCATGGTGGCCTTTTCCTAACACTCCGCACACAGGGGGAAAGTAGCCTCGCCGCAATTCGTAGTGGAAGGGGTGTAACACACGAGCAAAAAAGGAGCAACGCGACGGCGACGTATCGGTAACGCGTTTAGCAACGCGTTAGCAACGCGTTAGTAACGCTTCAGCCCCGCGTCAGTAACGACCCGCCATGCTGGGGCGAACGCTGAGGAGGTACAGCTCGCTGAAGAGCCTGCCCAAGGAAATCCTGAACCAACCAACCACTCGAGTAAGCGAGTTGCCAAACAAACTCAAAATAGCTACCGTCAAAAGCACATGTGAAGTACCCACCATAGGTATATGGATCAGCAGTGGAAGTAAATATGAAAATCAACAGAACAATGGAGTAGCTCACTTTCTCGAGCACATGATATTCAAAGGAACTAATAAAAGAAGCAGAATCCAACTCGAAAAAGAAATTGAAAATATGGGAGCACATCTTAATGCATATACAGCTAGAGAACAAACCAGTTACTACTGCAGATGCTTCAAGGACGATATAAAATGGTGCATTGAACTCTTAAGTGATATACTTTCAAATAGTGTGTTCGATGAAGATCTTATTAACATGGAAAAGCATGTCATATTGAGGGAAATGGAAGAAGTAGAAAAGTCAAAGGACGAAGTCATATTCGATAAACTTCATATGACTGCATTTAGGGATCATCCTCTAGGCTACACCATTTTAGGACCCATAGATAATATAAAAAATATGAACAGACAAAACATCATTAATTATATTAATACCAATTACACTTCAGACAGAATGGTTCTTTGTGCAGTGGGTGATGTGGAACATGAACAGGTTGTTAAATTAGCAGAACAACACTTTAGGCATTTAAAGCCTCAAACTGCTAATATGGGTTCTACATCTAATATAGATACTGTCAAACCCTACTTTTGTGGGTCAGAAATTATCATGAGAGATGATGATTCAGGACCTAGTGCACATGTAGCTGTAGCCTTTGAAGGAGTTGATTGGAAATCGCCGGATTCAATAACATTCATGCTAATGCAATGTATTATTGGTACTTATAAAAAAAGTGAAGAAGGTATCCTGCCAGGAAAACTTTCAGCAAACAGAACCGTTAATAATATTTGTAATAAAATGACAATCGGATGTGCCGACTACTTTTCTGCTTTTAATACATGCTACAACAATACGGGTTTGTTTGGATTCTATGTACAGTGTGATGAGCTAGCTGTGGAACATGCTCTGGGGGAACTCATGTTTGGAGTCACTTCCCTAAGTTATAGTATCACAGATGAAGAAGTCGAGCTAGCCAAAATACATTTAAAGACACAACTCATTAATATGTTCGAGTCGTCATCCACCTTGGCAGAAGAAGTGTCTAGGCAAATTCTGGTGTACGGAAGAAATATCCCCTTAGCAGAATTTCTCTTGAGGCTGGACAAAATTGACACTGAAGAAGTAAAACGGGTTGCTTGGAAGTATTTGCATGACAGGGAGATTGCCGTGGCCGCCATGGGTGCCCTCCACGGCATGCCGCAGTACTACGACCTCAGGCAGAAGACCTTCTGGCTCAGATACTAGCCGAGTGCGACCGCGCAAGTGCCAACCGGGCAAGCGGTCAACTGGTTAAGCGGTCAAGGGGGTAAGCGGCCAACGGGTTAAGCGGCCAACCGTTGCACCGGCCAACCGATAAACCGCGCACAATGCATGCATGTAACGAGGGCGTACGGTCGAACCTGCCCTCACGCGTACCCGTGTACATGTACCCTATCTCTAACCCCAAGTGTCACTAACGCGAGCAAACCCAGCGCCATGCTGAATGGGGACACTCCTCCCAAGGTCATCCCATACCATAAAACGAATAAAGGTCCATTCGAAAAAGGTGAGGTTTTTTTGCCCCCTTTTCGTGCCGTCCCACACAGGAGATGGTCGCACCACCCACATGGGTAACTGCGAAACGGGAAAAAAAGATAATCGGTTCGACCCTGTTCAGTCACCCAGTCTGAAACGAACTCCATCTGCCCTCCTTTTTTTTTTTTTTTTTTTTTTCCATATTGTAACGTCCTAGTCGACTACACAAACAAACAAACGTTTCCTCACAATTACGCTTGTATTTTCGAGCGAACGTTTAGCGGGTCATTTTCCCTATTCGCATGTGACGACGGGAAGCTCCTTCCAGTGCGCCATGCGACACGTGTGTACCTCCTCTTCCAAAAAAAGGTGGGAACTCCTCATGGGGCCATTAAAAGGAGAATTAATTAACCTCATGAACGCTATGTGTGCTGCACAAAGGACATACCGGATGAGGAGAAAAACAACCCAAGGGAGGGTCTCTTTAACAGAACGCGCACAAAAAAAAAAAAAAAAGCGAAAAAAAAAAAAAAAAAAAAAAAAAAAAAAAAAAAAATAGGGGAAATCTCTCCAAGCGTGGCGCACAAGCAAAGGTTATACACGCGGGAAATTAATTTCAAAATTAAAAAAAAAAAAAAGAAAAGAAAAAAGGAAAACGTAACTGGGTTAGAAGGATACGTAAGCTCTTTACACCTTTTTCCCAATCCCCTTTTTCATTTTCAAGACCGAGCCAGAAGGGGAACAAAATCCTTCCCCCGCTGCTTGGCCAATTTTTACACGCACAAACCGCACCAAGCAGTGTGTTACACGTACGTAAAGTTAACATACTTTTGTGCACTCTTCAGCTGCGCGGGGTGGCGCCACGAGGGAGACAGGCTGGAAAGAACATTCGGACGGGGCCAGTAGAGAAGCGGCAGAGGAGCGGCAGAACGGCCTCGCCAGTGAGAAGAGGGCAGCTTTGGGACGGGCGAGGACAACACCCAATCGGACAAACCAAACGAGGCCAAAAAGAATAGCGCAAAAAAAGATTAAAGGCAAGCCCCAATTTGAGTACAAAACACAAGTGATGCTCGAATGAGGGGTGGAGGAGTGCCGAGTGGGACAAGTGACTCAAGCACACGCTACACGCTGTGCCCCCAATATTTTACACCCCTAGAGTAAGGTAAACCCCCGATTCGCAAAAATGAGCCTAAGTCCGAGTGGCAGCGGTGGCAACCCGCCAAGCTACGCCGGCCACGCCGGTCATGCCGGTCATGCTGCTCATCCGGGCCACCCGAGCCTTGCCAACTACGCCAGTCACAGTGTCCACCCTAACCATGGCGTCCCTGTCCTCCACGCCGATGTGTACCGCCCCCCCGTGGAGCCGTCCAGCAAACAAAAGGAAGAGCAATTCAAAAGCATAACCCACTTTGCAAAGTACCTCTTCTTCATCGCCAAAAAAATAGCCTACGAGGATGTCCACGGGATGGGAGGAGCGACCACCACTCACCACACTACAAATGAAGAACTGAAAAAGGCTCTTGTGAAACACCTAATATACAAGCTCAACAAAATTCTGTCCTCTCTAATCAATTTCAACGTCCTCCAGTACCATGAAAACGTTAACATAAAACAGGAGGTGGAGTACCTGTGTCTGAAACAGAGCAACATGACTCTAAACAAAATAAGATTAATGTTAAGCAAGTTGGAAAGCAGTGGGACAAACTACAGGTACGTCTTGTATATCCTGTTGAAGCTACACAGTTTTCATGAGCAGCATGGTGGCCAGCGCTCCGACCCATTTGCTGCTTCCCCCCCAGGGGTAACCAACTCCGCAGTGGAAAATGTCACGCGCAATGTCAACCCCTCAGAGGGAGACAAGCACAGATATCCCCCCAAAATGGGGCCTGCCAATGTGGGCGCTACTCACGTGGACGCTACTCGCGTGGTAGCTACTCACGTGGGCGCTACCCACATGGGTGTGAGTCAAAGAAAGGAAGAACCCTACAAAGAGGAACAAGGGTCCAAGTTGGTAAACACAAATGGGCTCAAGCCACAACCGCAAAATGTGCAGGAGGGACGCGAGTTCAGACTGTCCATTCAGGGACAACCTCCACGTGGTGACGCACTCCGCGACGCACGCAGCCACCCACGCGGCGACCCACTGTGTGAAAAAAACTTCATCAACAAGAGCCTGTACGCAACCATCATTCTGAACAATAAGTTTAACAACCTCGACGTGGAGGAAAGTTTGCTCATAAAGGATCTCATATACCCCCTCCAAGGAATGAGTGGCCAGTATATAAAGTATAACAAGATGGACCGCTGCTTCTATGTGTGCAACCGCAAGGTCAGCATCGGCATGCATCACCTCATCAACAACATAAGTAGCTTAGGTTTACACTTCAAAAAAATTAAAACTATCGTTGGTATTTCCACATCATCAGGGGAGGATGCTCATAGCGACACAGAGCACTGGGGGGATGATCTCTCGAGTGAAGAGGTGAGTCATCACCCCCCCCCCGCGGAACGAAGACATTCAAACGAATCACGAAAAAAAGGCAGCTTAGTTGTTGACGCACTGCACCAAATAGTGCGTGAGTATGTGAACGAATATTACAAGCTACTGTCTCATCTTGAAAGTGATATAAATGAACACATTCACAAAAACACACTCTACATTGGAGTTAAAAAGCTCCACCTGCGTCTACAAGAATCGTACAAGATCATGAGGGTCTTGGTGAACGTCGTGGATGAGTCCCGCAGAAGCACTGGATGCAACTTCCTCTCCTTCCTCTATTCAAAATCACAAACATACGATTACGAGGAGCAAAAAATATACAGAGCCATACTTCAAAAATGTTTAAAGCCAATAAATGCTATCCTGAAGCAATGGGTGGACAGCGGCACGTTGAAGGATAAGTATAATGAAACGTTTATTTGCACTAATAAAAATGTGCCATCTGAAAAGATATGGTGTTACAAATTTTGTCTCAACAATAATAATATTCCTCTGTTTTTGAAAGTCAGCACAGCCAAGCGCATTCTCCTCGCGGGGAAAAGTGTGCACCTGGTGAACAGCTTTGGGGGGGAAGGAGGCACCCAGTTCGACCCTCCCCCCGGCAACACAAAGCCGCTCCCCCACACGCCGCTGCGAAATATGCCACCGCGCGGTGTGGCGATGCAAAATGAAGCGGCCCCGCCCCCAGGGGAGGCGGACGTGTTCTCCACGACTGACGTAAACGCGTATGTGGAAAATATCCACCGGTACGTGAAGAAGCTGTGCGTGCGAAAGAACAAGCGCCTGATCTCCATGCTGGTAAACAAGTACGGACTGTATGATCACTTCAGAGCCTTCAGACACTTCCTCCTGCTCGTAGACGGAGACTTCTTCGAATCCATTGTTGATAATATGAAAACTGATCTGTACATGGATGCAGAAGAACTGAAACGACATTACCTAAACAGCAAACTAGACCTCTGTATAAAATCTTCTTCTTTATTTACCTCGAACCAAAGTATTATTAACAAATTAGTACTTGACAGATTCCACGTGAAAAGAGGAGACATCGGATGGGATGTCCTCGTATTTGATTTTATAGTGGACAAACCCTTAGACATTATTTTTACACACAAGGTTAAAAATATATACAAAACTATTAACGTCTTATTAATTAAATTAAAAAAAATACATTACGAGTTAGCAAATATCTGGTACCTGTTTACTCATTTATTTAAAATTATGAATGCCGTCTGTTACAACCACGTATTTATATATTGTAACATCATGAGGAATGAAATGTTTCATTTTATTCAAAACCTACTCTCCTACTTCTACTACGATGTGATTGATATGAACTGGAGGGAATTTAAAAATGTCGTTTTTAATTGTAATGACTTGGATCGACTCATACATGAGCATTACCAGTACATAACTCAAATTCAAGTTGATTTATTCCTTGGTAATTCCGTTGATGGGGCAGTTGATGGAGCAGTTGATCCTGCTGCTGCCGCCGCTGCTGCCCCTTCTCCCGCTCCCCCCTCTTCTTCTGCGTCTTCTTCATCTGTTCATTCAGATGTAGACTCGACATCAGATGGCTACTTGAACAGCTCCGTAGACTCACCACCTCCTGGAGGTGCAACTGATTTTGTGTATGCTCCTTCACATTTGCCTGAACCATCTTCAAAATTTCTTTCATTTCAAAGAGGAATTTCCCACCCATCTAGCCAAAAAAATCCGGAAGCCACTTATTACAACCCAGATGCAGTTCCAAAAACGGGTTCTACAAACAATAGAACCCATAATATAGACAGCGAAACACATCTATGTATGTATCGCATACTAGACATCATAACTCGCTTTATCAATCTCACCAGTGCACTCATCTCCTCCGTCTGTGAAGGCTATTCAGAAATAAAACAACTTACAGATGCAAAGAAGGATGACAGTAACCCTATTGACAACGACATTGAATACGTAAACAATTTTATTAACACAAAAATAATTGGAGAAAAAACCATTAGGGATCTTAAAATCCTGCTCAAGTACTACAGAAATTATATTTATAAATTTATTTGCCTCCTCCTAAGCGATAGCAAGTCCACCTGCACACACTCCCGCATCTCTAAGCGGGACAAACTCAACTCACACCGCCTCCTCGCCGCGCGACTAGACTTCAACCTGTACTACGTTAACATTTCGAGGCTCATGGACGGCGCCACACCCAAGCTTAACATTTCCAATCAGATTAAAATGATCAAGCGGGGCCAGCCGCAAAACCAGGCCAGCCACCCAACCTGACCAGCGGTTAAGCAGATTAGCGGTTAAGCAGATTAGCGGTTAGGAAGTTATTTACACGATGATAAGCAAACATGTTAAGAGGTGCACACGTGGAGGGCGTGCCGCTAATTGCGACACTAATCGCGAGGCTACGCGCTCCGCTAAGCACCACGGAGGAGCGACAGCAGCTTGGCCTCCTCCGCCACGTCCAGCGGGTAACCCTCCGCATTTTTGCGCACCCGGGGGAGAGCCCCAACAGAGCCAACGGCAGCAGCCTCGCCCACTGCGCGGGTCCCCACTGCATTCCTTTGACCGAACGCTGAAACATTCAAATTGTTATAATCGTAGTGGTATAACACGTCCGTATCCTCCTTGGCGGGTTCACTCGTCTGGGCACACGTGTACCTCGGCATGCACAGCGGAGTAACCATGTTATACTGAAAAAGAAAGGAGAGCAAACTATGCCCCTTAAAATACATTTTAATAAAATTTCCATCTGTTCGAATGAATTTAATTTCGTGAAGAGATAAAATGATTTGTTTTTTCATCCCCTGTCTCGAAATCATTTTAAACGGGTACAGTAGCAGGTGTCTGTTCTTTACATCTAGGACTGCCCTAAGTACAACTGACTTCCATGAGTATAACTTTAAAGTATAAAATGCTAGCAGCCCAAAGGAGAGTAAGTAGCCATACAAACTTGTAACCACATCAAACTCAATTAAACATATACATATAGATGACAGAATCACTCCTCCGATCAGGTACTTGTGAATCTTCTTCTTTATTTTCTCCCCTTCACATTTTTCTACATCTAGAAGAACCATCTTGGACTTGTCTCTCCCTTGGTCATATCTTTTAATGCTTAATAGTCTGTCATGTTCCTTCTTGTCGTATGTAAAGAAAACGTGAATCGCTCTACGGGTGGGTGCAAGCGAGGTCACTTTATCACAACTCCATCTTGTATTCCTCATGAGCAGTGGACCGGACCACCACTTCCTTGCTGCGCGCTCGGTTAGGCGGTTCATTCCTTTGTAGCACGTGTGTGCATTGTTTTAAAGCGGCTGAAGAGGGGTGGGGAGTTGTTTCTATCTTCAATTATATTTGCGCGGCGACACATTTTTTGAGTGCCCCTTTCGCCGCGCTAATAAATACATTCTACTTCCCTCTTTCCTGCGCTAATAATATTTTTTTTTTTTTTTTTTT